TACATTCAATGCTATTTTTTATACACAAACAAGACAGATAATTATACATAGATAGAGGTATATATTGGCTTTTCCCATCTTTCAGCATCTTGGAGGCTTTGTGCTCGTTTCTGGCCATGAGAGCCGGGTGCTGTTGCTCCATCTCCTTGCCGAAGAGCTTTGTTTGTAACTTCCTCCTTTTTTGATCGAATCACCAGCATTCCTTATCTAGTCACATTTGCTTTCGAACTGCTAGGTAGGTGGAAGCTGAGCTAAAGGCCAGGAGCTCACCCTGACCCAAGCTTTGAACTTACAACTTTTCAACTGATATGCTTTACTGCAGTTGCTGGTTTAACCTGCTGTGCTACAGCCCAACACTAAGTAAAGATCCATATTATTTCCAGATTTATGAGAAGGACAACAGTAATGCAATAATGGGCATGGTAAGCTATAATGAATCCAGGTAACGACTGCATTTGCTCACATCCTGTGCCACAAGGATGTGTTCATTATACTGTATGTAATACAGTGCCAACATTGAAGTTGCAAGTTATTGGGTTGTTGTGATTTTTCCGGGCTGTATGGCCATGTTCCACAAGCATTCTTTCCTTATGTTTCACCTGCATTTATGGCAGGCATCCTCAAAGGTTGCCTGCTATACTTACTTACTTAGGCGATCCCTTGTTGTCCGAGTAGCATAATCCTCCAGGGTGGGTCCGTAGGTGACTGTGGGGCCCTATTCTTGATCTGCATCGTCTCCCGCATTGAGGGCATTGGTTTCCAGGTGGAAGGCGTCCCGGTCGGGGTTGGCTTGACGTGCCTTCCTCTTGGCAAGTTTCTCTCTTTTGCCCTCCATTCGTGCCTCTTCAAATTCTGCAGCACTGCTGGTCACAGCTGACCTCCAGCTGGAGCGTCAAGGGCCAGGGCTTCCCAGTTCTCAGTGTCTATGCCAGAGTTTTTAAGGCTGGCTTTGAGCCCATCTTTCAATCTCTTTTCCTGTCCACCAACATTCCGTTTTCCGTTCTTGAGTTCGGAGTAGAGCAACTGCTTTGGGAGGTGGTGGTCGGCATCCCGACAACGTGGCCGGTCCAGTGGAGTTGCTGGTGGAGGACCATCGCTTCAATGCTGGTGGTCTTTGCTTCTAGCACGCTGATGTTTGTCCATCAGTCTTCCCAAGAGTTTGCAGGATTTTTCGGAGGCAACACTGATGGAATCATTGCAGGAGTTGTGTGTGATGTCTGTAGACAGTCCATGTTTGCAGGCATATAGCAGGGTTGGGAGGACAATAGCTTTATAAACAAGCACCTTGGTATCCCTACGGATGTCCCGGTCCTCAAACACTCTCTGCTTCATTCGGAAAAATGCTGCGCTCGCAGAGCTCAGGCGGTGTTGTATTTCGGTGTCGATGTTGACTTTGGTGGAGAGGTGGCTGCCAAGGTAGTGGAAATGATCAACATTTTCTAATGTTACACCATTAAGCTGTATCACTGGCATTGGAGAGGGATTGGCTGGTGACTGCTGGAAGAGCACTTTGATTTTCTCAATGTTTAATGACAGGCCGAGCTTCTCGTATGCTTCTGTGAAGATGTTTAGAGTGGCTTGTAGGTCTTCTTCTGAATGCACACAGACGACGTTGTCATCAGCATACTGGAGTTCTATAACAGATGTTGTTGTAACCGTGGTTTTGGCTTTCTGCTGGTGAAATACTAGGAGAGAATGCTTCTGGAACATGGCCATACAGCCCGGAAAACTCACAGCAGCCCAGTGATTCCAGCCATTAAAGCCTTCGACAATACATTGCAAGTCATGGTGTCCTGTACATCCTCAGAGCTCGGGATGCTTGTTTGTTCTTAAGGTGAAAGGCACATGTCTGTGTTTTAGATGGATTAGGGATCAGCTGGTTTTCCCTGTAATAGGCAGTAAGAGCACCTAGAGCTTCGGAGAGCTTCTGTTCAACCATCTCAAAGATCCCTGCTTGAGCAGTGATGGCACGAAAGGGATCCCACTGGAGCATTGCAGCACACCCAAATACCTGGGAGTCACTCTGGACCGTGCTCTGACCTACAAGAAGCACTGCCTGAATATCAAGCAAAAAGTGGGCGCTAGAAACAATATCATACGAAAGCTGACTGGCACAACCTGGGGATCAAAACCAGACACAGTGAAGACATCTGCCCTTGTGCTATGCTACTCTGCTGCTGAGTATGCATGCCCAGTGTGGAACACATCTCACCACACTAAAACAGTGGATGTGGCTCTTAATGAGACATGCCGCATTATCACGGGGTGTCTGCGCCCTACACCACTGGAGAAATTACACTGCTTAGCCGGTATTGCACCACCTGACATCTGCCGGGAAGTAGCAGCCAATAGTGAAAGTACCAAGGCAGAGACATCTCCAGCTCATCCCCTGTTTGGGTATCAGCCAGCACGTCGACTTAAATCTAGAAATAGTTTTCTAAGATCTACAGAGACAGTCACTGGAACACCTCAGCAAGCGAAAGTCCAAAAGTGGCAGGCTCAAACCCAGAACTGATACGAAATGAGAGACTCCCCCCCTGGGCACACAGAAGACGGGGCGACTTGGAAGGCGCTGAACAGACTGCGCTCTGGCACCACGAGATGCAGAGCCAACCTCAAGAAATGGGGCCACAAAGTGAAATCCACGACATGCGAGTGTGGAGAAGAGCAAACCACTGACCACCTGCTGCAATGCAACCTGAGCCCTGCCACATGCACAATGGAGGACCTTGCGGCAACACCAGAAGCACTCCAAGTGGCCAGATACTGGTCAAAGGACATTTAATCAACTACCAAGTTTGCAAACTTTGTGTTTTTTTTTGTTTGTTTTGTTCTGTTAGAAATGTAATATAATGGTCTGGTTGCCCTGACACGATAAATAAATAAATCATTTTTTTGCTGGCTTAGGTATAGGTTTAGGTCTAAAGACATTAAGAAACTGAAGCCAGGGGGGGTTGCATTGGCTGTTGGAAAATCTCAGTTCTATGTCAATGCGAAATGGAGTGCTTACCAACAAATATTTGTAAACGAGATGCATTGGTTTGTGTTTCTCCAAGGATGTAATTAACGTCTCCTACGCAGCACTCCCTGCTGTTTTGGAAGGATGTCAGGCCTGATCTTCTCCCGATCTTGTTAGATTCCCTTACGGATTGCAAGCTAAACAGTCTGGATGAGTGCTTTGCAAGAATTGGGGAAATTCCTCTGTGGGAAACTGGCTTGAGTTTTGTGGGATGTTTAAGTTGCAGTGTTTTTGATTGTGAGCCGCATTAAGTCTCCGTACAGAGAGATAAGGCTGGATATATATTGTGCAGTTCTTATAATATAATATAATATATTGTATATACATATAATATTGATAATAATATTATAATGTAATACAATATAATGCTCTTAATAATAATATGATATAATAATTATATATTCTCTATTACATGTAATATTACAAATAATATTACAGTATAGTGGTATTGTACAATAGCGTAATATAGAATACTAATATTGTGCTATGCTAATAATATATTGTATGTACATAGAACTTGTAAGCCGCTCTGAGTCCTCTTTGGGGTGAGAAGGGCAGGATATAAATGTTGTAAGTAAGTAAAGAAATTAATATAATAAATTAATAATAAATGTTGTAATTAAGTAAAGAAATTAATATAATAAATTAAGTAAAGAAATTAATATAATACATTAAGTAAAGAAATTAATATAATAAATTAAGTAAAGAAAATAATATAATAAATTAAGTAAATAAAGAAATTAATATAATACATTAATAATAAATTAAGTAAGTAAAGAAATCAATATAAGTAAAGAAATTAATATAATAAATTAAGTAAGTAAAGAAAATAATATAATAAACTAAGTAAATAAAGAAATTAATATAATAAATTAAGTAAGTAAAGAAATTAATATAATTAATTAATAATAAATGTCGTAAGTAAAGAAATTAATATAAGTAAAGAAATTAATATAATAAATTAAGTAATTAAATAAACTAATATAATAAATTACTAATAAATGTTGTAAGTAAAGAAATTAATATAATAAACTAAGTAAATAAAAAATTAATATAACAAATTAAGTAAATAAAGACATTAATATAATAAATTAAGTAAGTAAATAAATTTAAATAATAAATAATAAATGTCATAAGTAAGTAAAGAAATTAATATAATACATAAGTACGTAAAGACATTAGTATAATAAATTAAGTAAATAAAGAAATTAATATAATAAATTAAGTAAGTAAAGAAATTAATATAATAAATTAAGTAAAGAAATTAATATAATAAATTAAGTAAAGAAATTAATATAATAAATTAAGTAAGTAAAGAAATTAATATAATAAATTAATAAATTATATTAATAAATTAATATAAATTTATTAATAAATAAATTACATGAATCGATGATACTTTAAAGGCTAGGGATCAATGCTATGTAATACTTAAAGTGGTGTAGTTTGCAAAGGCACCAATATTCTCTGGCAGAGAAAAGACTTTGAACCATCTCCCAATCCCTAGCATTGAGTGCTACCAAGCCTTTGGGACAGTGGCTCTCGACGCGCGTTTCCCTTTGCCGCCGATAGAAGGCGCTCGCGAGGCTTGGCTTCTCTCTCTCTCTCTCTCTCTCTCTTTCTGCGGAGAAGCCGCGCAAAGGGCCGGAAGCGGAAGTAGCGGGTCGGAAGCTCAGCCGGTAAGATGTTGTTTACATGTCTCCCCTGATCGTTTGAATGCGTTATCTTTTAACTTACGAGCCGTTTGAGTTTCTTCTCACCCCACCTTGCTTGTGCAGTGTACTTAGAATACACTCCAGATCTTTCTTTATTGTTATTGTTATTATTATTATTATTTCTCCTAATTGTTTGATCTTTAGGCTTTTATATTTGGTTTTTGTACTATTTTTTAATGTGTCTCAGCCTGCCATCCAAGTCCTGAGCAGGGCAGAAGGGCTTTGGGGCCTTTACAGCACAACGAGCAGAGATAATGCTTGGCCTAGCCAGGTATGAATTAGAACCAAACATCCTGAGGAGTGAGGCTGAATGGGCCTTAAGAAGCATTGCTAACAACAAGGCAGCAGGAGACAACGGGATCCCAGCTGAACTGTTCAAAATCTTAAAAGATGATGCTGTCAAGGTGATGCATGCCATATGCCAGCAAATATGGAAAACACAAGAATGGCCATCAGACTGGAAAAAATCAACTTACCAAACCAAAAAAGGGAAATGCGAAAGACTGCTCCAACTTCCGTACAGTGGCCCTTATTTCTCATGCCAGGAAGGGAATGCTCAAGATCCTGCAAGGAAGAAGACTCCAGCAAGACATGGAGAGAGAGTTGCCAGATGTTCAAGCTGGGTTTAGAAAAGGCAGAGGAACGAGAGACCAGATTGCCAATATCCGCTGGATAATGGAGAAAGGCAGGGAGTTTCAGAAAAACATCTACTTCTGCTTCATTGACTATTCTAAAGCCTTTGACTGTGTGGATCATAATAAATTGCGGCAAGTTCTTGGTGGGATGGGCATACCAAGCCACCTTGTCTCTCTCCTGAGGAATCTGTACAAGGACCAAGTAGCAACAGTCAGAACTGACCACGGAACAACAGACTGGTTCAAGATTGGGAAAGGCGTACGGCAAGGCTGCATACTCTCACCCAACCTTTTTAACTTGTATGCAGAACACATCATGCGATGTACGGGGCTGGATGAATGCAAAGCTGGGGTGAAAATTGCTGGCCAGCCCCCCGGCTGTCGGTGCCCTTCGCTGCCGTGCCCCCCTGACCCCCCCTCGCTCTGCACGCTGCCCCCCCCTCTGCTGGTAGCCCCTCCGCGGCGGAGCTGCGGGCCTTCTCCCCTCCAGGTGCACCGCCTCTCACCCGAGGAGCCTTCTAATCAAGGTGAAAGAAGAAAGTGCAAAAGCTGGGTTGCAGCTAAACATAAAAAAAAACCAAGATTATGGGAACAAGAATTATTGACAACTGGCAAACAGAGAGAGAAAATGTGGAGGCAGTGACAGACTTTGTATTTCTAGGTGCAAAGATTACACAGATGCAGACTGTGGCCAGGAAATCAGAAGACGCTTCCTTCTTGGGAGGAGAGCAATGACAAATCTTGATAAAATAGTGAAGAGTAGAGACATCACACTGGCAACGAAGATCCGCATAGTCAAAGCAATGGTATTCCCTGTAGTAACCTACGGATGTGAGAGCTGGACCTTAGGGAAGGCTGAGCGAAGGAAGAGAGATGCTTTTGAGCTGTGGTGTTGGAGGAAAGTTCTGAGAGTGCCTTGGACCGTGAGAAGATCCAACCAGTCCATCCTCCAGGAAATAAAGCCCGACTGCTCATTGGAGGGAAGGATACTAGAGACAAAGTTGAAGTCTTTGGCCACATCATGAGGAGACAGCAAAGCCTAGAGAAGACAATTATGCTGGGGAAAGTGGAAGGCAAAAGGAAGAGGGGCCGACCAAGGGCAAGATGGATGGATTGCATCCTTGAAGTGACTAGACTGACCTTGAGGGAGCTGGGGGTGGTAACGGCCGACAGGGAGCTCTGGCGTAGGCTGGTCCATGAGGTCACGAAGAGTCGGAGACGACTGAACGAATGAACAACAACAAAAAGATTACATCTCCTGAAGGATTCGATGCGGCTTACACAGGCCGAAGCCCCAAAACACAATACAACAATACAATACCTAAAGCAAATTAAAAACAGTTAAGCAGAAAAACAATAACAGTAACAATACAAGAAGACACTATTAAAACTGGGCCGGCCAGAGTAGTGGGTACAGGATTAAAAGTGCTGATGTGGCGGGAGGAATGTAGGATTATAAAGTAAGTGCAGTGTGCAGTGTGCAGTGATCTTGGTTCTACTAAAGTGCTTCTAGGACTTGGTGCTGGAGGTTCCTAATCTGAAAAGGCACATCGGAAAAGCCAGGTTTTCAAATTCTTTCTGAAGACTGCCAATGTAGGGGCCTGTCTAAGATCTTTTGGGAGGGTGTTCCAAAGTCGGGGGGCCACCACAGAAAAGGCCCTGTCTCGCGTCCCCACCAAGTGCGCTTGCGACGCGGGCGGGATCACGAGCAGGGCCTCTCCAGATGACCAGAGTGAGCGTGTGGGTTCGTAGACAGCGATACGGTCACGTAGGTAGGGTGGTCCCAAACCGTTCAGGGCTTTGTAGGTAAGCACCTGCACCTTAAATTGGGCTCGGAAAATAAACAGCAGCCAGTGGAGCTCCTTGAACAGGAGGGTTGACCTCTCTCTGTAAGGAGCACCAGTTAACATCCTGGCTGCTGCCCGTTGGACCAGTTGGAATTTCCGAGCCGTTTTCAAGGGCAGCCCCACGTAGAGCGCATTGCAGTAATCCAATCTAGAGGTGACCAAGGCATGGACCACCCCGGCCAGATCAGCCTTTGCGAGGTACGGTCGCAGCTGGCGCACGAGTCTCAATTGTGCGAAAGCCCTCCCAGACACCGCCGACGCCTGAGCCTCAAGCGTAAGCGATGAGTCCAAGAGGACTCCCAAGCTACGGACCTGTGGCTTCAGGGGGAGTGTAACCCCGTCCAAAACAGGTTGCCACCCTATACCCCGGTCAGGTTTACGCTCGACCAGGAGGACCTCTGTCTTGTCGGGATTGATCTGGATAATGGAGATAATAATTCCCCATCTTCATCGCTATGATACTTCACCTTGTTGACGGGAAGCTTCCCACCGGAGTGGAAATCATCTATCAGACAGATGGCAAGCTATTCAACCTCAGCAGATTGAAAGCCAAAACCAAGGTTACAACAACATCTGTTATATAACTCCAGTATGCTGATGACAATGTCGTCTGTGCGCATTCAGAAGATCTACAAGCCACTCTAAACACCTTCGCAGAAGCATACACGAAGCTTGGCCTGTCGCTGAACATCAAGAAAACCAAAGTGCTGTTCCAGCAGTCACCAGCCATCCCCTCCCCAATGCCAGAGATACAGCTTAATGGTGTAACATTAGAAAATGTTGACCATTTCCGCTACCTTGGCAGCCACCTCTCCACCAAAGTCAACATCGACACCGAAATACAACACCGCCTGAGCTCTGCGAGTGCAGCATTTTCCCGAATGAAGCAGAGAGTGTTTGAGGACCGGGACATCCGTAGGGATACCAAGGTGCTTGTCTATAAAGTTATTGTCCTCCCAACCCTGCTCTATGCCTGCGAAACGTGGACTGTCTACAGACGTCACATGCAACTCCTGGAACGATTCCATCAGCGCTGCCTCTGGAAAATCCTGCAAATCTCTTGGGAAGACAAGCAGACAAACATCAGCATGCTGGAAGAAGCAAAGACCACCAGCATTGAAGTGATGGTCCTCCGCCATCAACTCCGCTGGACCAGCCACATTGTCTGGATGCCCGACCACCGTCTCCCAAAGCAGTTGCTCTACTCCGTTGCTCTACTCCGAACTCAAGAATGGAAAACGGAATGTTGGTGGGCAGGGAAAGAGATTCAAAGACGGGCTCAAAGCCAACCTTAAAAACTCTGGCGTAGACACTGAGAACTGGGAAGCCCTGGCCCTTGAGCGCTCCAGCAGTGCTGTAGAATTTGAAGAGACATGAATGGAGGGCGAAAGAGAGAAACATGCCAAGAGGAAGGTGCGTCAAGCCAACCACGACTGGGATGCCTTCCACCTGGAAACTAATGCCCTCACTGCGGGAGAACATGCAGATCAAGAATATTTATTTATTTATAAATAAATAAGATCAAGAATAGGGCTCCACAGTCAACTATGGACCCTACCCCAGTACACTGATTCTGGAAGACTATCCTACTCGGACAATGAGGGATCGCCTAAGTAAGCCAGGCTGGAGATAGATAATATAGAAGAAATGTAAGAGTTCTTTAATGGTGAAACCATTACCCTAACCCCAAACAGTACCGTTAGCCTAAGCCTAACCCCTTACCCTAAACCTTATCCTTACGCTAACCCAAACCTCTGAAGATGCCAACCATGAATGCAGGCAAAACGTCAGGAGAGAATACTACTGGAACAGGCCATACAGCCAAAAAAAAAAAAAAATCACAGCAACCCAAAGTATTTTTGTTTGTCTGTTGCTAGGTGAAGTGGCCCTCTGTGATGTCACTGGGAAAGAAAGATCACTTGTAAGAGAGAAAGGGAAAAAAGAAAATGAAAAAGAAGGAAGAGGGGGAGAGAAAGGGAAAGGAGGAGAAAGGAAAGGGAAAAAAGATGTGAGGGGAGGAAAAAGAAGTCATGAACGCAGGGGGTATATACACTAGTGTGGTTGATATTTATATATATTCGGGCTGTTGACCTTTTCAGCTCAATGATTTATATGAGTCGTTGACTTTCAAAGATTGACATAATAGCTTTTTTAAAAAATCTTTATTTATATAGGATTAGCAGAGATTGCAGAATGGCTTCCGCCACAGAGACTCCTCAAAATACTTCGGAAGATGAGGAAACCCCGAAAGATGTCCAGCCACCTCAAGATCCACCTCCTGCAGTCGAGGATAGCCTGAGTAGAGAACCTAGCGTATCTGAGATCCTGCAGAAGTATGAAAAGATGTTTGCACATCGATTTACAGCAGAGGATGAAGAATATCAGAAATATGTCCAGCGTCCCACAGCCAAACCTCCTTTAATACAAGACTGGAGAAGCAGATCGGGTGGAAACCAGCGATACAGAGATCGGTACTAAATTTTCCTTTGGCTTTAGAAGTTCGATTCCATTGAGAGGAAAGCTAGAATTGGGCAGTATAGGGGTGTTTGTGTAGTGTGCGGTTCTTAAGCAGAGGCCGTTTTGTGGAGCAAATAGTGTTAGACCAGAATGCTTACTCTTCGTCCTTGCAGGTGCATTACTAACCTTTCATAGAATCATAGAAACATAGAATCGAAGAGTTGGAAGAGGCCTCATGGGCCATCCAGTCCAACCCCTTTCTGCCAAGAAGCAGGAATATTGCATTCAAAACACCCCTGACAGATGGCCATCCAGCCTCTGTTTAAAAGCTTCCAAAGAAGGAGCCTCCACCACACTCCGGGGCAGAGAGTTCCACTGCTGAACGGCTCTCACAGTCAGGAAGTTCTTCCTCATGTTCAGGTGGAATTTGAGGGGAATTGGCCTAGATATTTTGAAGTTGTAGGTACTGGGATTTATAGTTTACCTTCAATCAGTGAGCACTCTGAATTCCACTAAAGATGGAATTGGACCTAACATAGCATACAGGGCCCCCATGACCAATAAAAATACTGGACGTCGTTGGGGAAAATTCACCTTGATTTGGGGGAGTTGTAGTTCATCTACATCCAGAAAGCACTGTGAACCCAAACACCGATGGATCTGGACCAGACTTGGCACACATAGTGATATTCTGAAATTTGATTACTGGAGGGATTTGGGGGGAACTGACCTTCCTTTCTGGGAGTTGTAGTTCACCCGCAACCAGAGAAACTATGACCTCCACTGGTGATGGGCCTGGTCCAAACTTGGCACACAGAACCCCTTTGACTAACTCAACCTACTGGTAGGGTTTATTTATTGTTTATTTATTTATTTAGAGCTTTTATAACCCGGTCTTCTTGACCTCCGAAGAGGGACTCAGGCTGGCTAACAGCAGAAAATTTAAGGGGATAGTGGGAATTGTAGTTTAACCTACAGCCAGAGAATACACTGAACCCCATCAATGATGCATCTAGAGCAGACTTGCGCAACATAACAAACTTTAAGTATTGATGGAGTTTCTTGGGGTTAACCTGGCATGATGTGAATTATAGTTCACCCATAACCTCATGCATTTGGTACAATTAAAAATTGACTTTTTAAAATAACCTGGGCAATGCCAGGTACAGAAGCTAGTACTTAATAAATTTATTTATTTACTTATTTACTATGTCTAGCAGCCGTTGTCTCTTCAGCCCCCACGTCGAGCTCACGGGCGGGAGCACACCGCGAGCATTCGATGCCCACAACACAGTACCATAATAATTTAAAAAACATTTAACACAGATAAAAATTCATTACAATTAACATCAGTAACACAATAAAAACCATAAGTCCTCCGCATTTCATTACCAGTCATTATCCAGTCACATTGTCCAACCGTTCCGAGATCAGAGTTAGCTGCGTTTGGGAAGGCCTGCTCATAAAGCCAGGTTTTAACTTTTTTGCAAAACGTTAAGAGGTTGGGGGCTGATCTAATGTCCCTGGGGAGGGCATTCCACAACCGAGGGGCCACCGCTGAGAGGCCCTCATCCCCGCCAATGGGATTTTGGGCTGCATCAATAGGAGCATAGTGTCTAGATCTAGGGAAGTCATGCTACCCCTCTATTCTGTTTTGGTTAGACCACACTTGGAATATTGTGTCCAATTCTGGGCACCACAATTCAAAAGAGATATTGACAAGCTGGAATGTGTCCAGAGGAGGGCGACTAAAATGATCAAGGGTCTGGAGAACAAGCCCTATGAGGAGCGGCTTAAGGAGCTGGGCATGTTTAGCTTGAAGAAGAGAAGGATGAGAGGAAATATGATAGCCATGTATAAATATGAGAAGGGAAGCCACAGGGAGGAGGGAGCAAGCTTGTTTTCGGCTTCCCTGGAGACTAGGGCATGAAACAATGGCTTCAAACTACAAGAAAGGAGATTCCATCTGAACATGAGGAAGAACTTCCTGACTGTGAGAGCCATTCAGCAGTGGAACTCTCTGCCCCGGAGTGTGGTGGAGGCTCCTTCTTTGGAAGCTTTTAAACAGAGGCTGGATGGCCATCTGTCAAGGGTGATTTGAATGCAATATTCCTGCTTCTTGGCAGAATGGGGTTGGACTGGATGGCCCAGGAGGTCTCTTCCAACTCTTTGATTCTATGATTCTATGAAGGTTCTCTTGTCTATATATTGTGTCCCTAGAAGATCTTTTCCTAGAGGGTACGTAAGGAGAGATATGTTCAGACAGGTAAGCAGGGCCAGAATAAATGTATTCTTTGACTTTAGTGTTTACATTTTTAAAAAATATCTGAGATATATTTTGACATAATCAATTATTTTTGTTTGTCCTATATAATATTATGTGTTTTGCTGTGGAAGTGAATATGGTTGAACATGTGTCCTTCTCCCTTAATACAGATTCAGAGACAACCGACAATATAAAGGCAGAGGAGACCGATACGACCGGCAAGGGGGCTACAGGTCCAACCAGTGGCAAGACAGAGGCTGGGGGAACAGCTATTCCCAGCGCCGTCAAGGACAAATGTCCTTCTCCCAACATGGACGGCAGTCCCACTATGGCTATGGTTCATACTCGCAGGGCTATTACTAGTATGGCGTTGAGCATTGATTGTCCAGCATAACAAGTAGTTTTCTTGATTCCATCAGTTTTATCCTAGTTTCATTTTTAATTAAGTTTTCTTTTTTAAAAAATTTGAAATATTCTGCAGTCTTACTTCAAGAAAGGAGACAAAGAATGAGAAACCGAAATTTAAAAAACAAACTGTGAACTTGTGGCTTTGCCTTCCTTGTCGCTCTGTCATAAATATTTGATGTTTGGAGGGGATTTGCTTTGCTTCAGAAGCATCTGAATGTCTGACATACATATTTTGTGGGAAGGATTATGAAAATCAGTAATACATCAGGATAGAGAAGTGTTATGTTCTTGTTGCCTTTTTTCTATTGCTGATAAATAAGCTTTTAGAGTTTTTTCCCCCCAATGGACTCTTCTGAAGTGCTGTTAATCCCTGTGGCACATTTGGTTTAAGTTGAATTTGCAAACAGCCAATGAGCTGAAGTGTCAAACTGAGGTAAAAACCTTTGTGAGAGATGAAGTATTTCATTTTGTTTTTATATCCATTGTCATGACTCAGCACCATTTTAAATTTGTTAATTCTGCTCTCTTGTTTCTCAGAGAGCTTCCTGTTTGGACTGTTGTACAGGGTGGAATAAAACTAGATATTGATTGAAATGTGAATGAATGTGTATTTCATCCTGAGGACTCTAGGGACTTTCAATAATACTTTCAATGCATAGGATGTTTCAAATGTTTCACAGATAACACTGTTCAACGGAGAAAAAGTTGCGGGCCTGAAAATAGTTGTTCTTTTATGATTTTGGGGTGCTGAAAACGAAAATGACATTTAAAAATGTATATTGGCTCAAGTTTTTATGATATAAGCAATCACGTGATCACGTATGGTTGAAAAAATGCATGTTGCGACTTACACTATGGAAGATTCTAGAATACTCTAGAAAGTTTGATGACGCAGTATTAGTGCCGTGTGCAAAAGCCAGAAAGCCCTATATAAGGCCAGACTTTTGAACGGTGAGGGTCAGTCAGTTGAAGACTGAGACAGTATCGTTAAACATCGTTTTACATTGTTCTTTTTACTGTAGTTATGCCTCGCACGTGTGTAAATAAAGCACTATGGAAAAAAGATATCAAGGCAAATGGACTCCGTCAATGCTGTCAGACTCCTGCTGGAGCATTGTAAGAGACAATCCTTTCCTTGAATACAAAAGAAAAGTCAAGAGAAGCAAACAGGATATAAACTAAAGTCACGATTAAAGCGACATTTAAACTTTCAGACTTTTCAACTGCATTGTTGTTGTTCATTCGTTCAGTCGTCTCCGACTCTTCGTGACCTCATGGACCAGCCCACGCCAGAGCTCCCTGTCGGCCGTTACCACCCCCAGCTCCCTCAACTGCATTAGGCCTACTAATATAGTTTCTTGCTGCACAAACATAAACAATAGACTAATTAAATAAATATTTCTCATGTATAAACTATTGGCAATATAATTTGACTAAAATTTAGTAAATATTCACGGTTTATATACATGCAGTAAGGTTAGGCGCATTATCATAATATTAACGAATTACCTATTGTGGAGAAAATTGAAATAGCTGTTGCATAAAAACCAGAGCCAATTAACACATTTAATTATTATATTTGAATTCAGCATGTTAAATTTATTAAGAAACAGCACATTTCGTTTCCGTAACTGAGAAAAACTGAAAATTTGTAGAACAGTGTATTTATTAAGGAAAGCTCATTTCCTGAATAATTTCCAGAATTTTATTTATTTATTTATTTATTTAGAGTTTTTTATAACCTGGTCTTCTCAACCTCTGGAGAGGGACTCAGGCCGGCTAACAACAGAGGATTCAATATAAGATAAAGCAAATATACATCATCAATATAAAATACATTAAAATTCAATTCATACCATTTACAAAAAAAGTCAGTTTGTCAGAGTGAAATCACAAATTACAAATTCATTGTCATCTGCCAGTAGGTCAACAGTTATTGACTCAGTCATCAATCTGCAAATGCAGTGTCCCAAAGCCATGATTTTACCAGCTTTCTAAAAGTTAGGAGGGAAGAGGCAGATCTAATCTCCATTGGGAGGGAGTTCCAGAGCCGAGGGGCCACCACCGAGAAGGCCCTGTCCCTCGTTCCCACCAAGCGCGATTGCGAAAGAGGTGGGACCGAGAGCAGGGCCCCTCCAGAAGATCTTAACAACCTTGATGGTTCATAGGGGAGAATCTGTTTGGACAGGTAAATTGGGCCGGAACCGTTTAGGGATTTATAGGTCAACACCAGCACTTTGAATTGTGCCACTGATTGGCAGCCAGTGGAGCTGGTGCAACAGAGGAGTCGTATGCTCTCTGTACCCCGCTCCTGTTAGTAGTTTGGCTGCCACTCGTTGTATTAGTTGTAGCTTCCGGGCAGTCTTCAGAGGCAACCCCACGTAGAGAGCGTTGCAGTAGTCTATACGGGATGTAACCAGAGTGTGGACCACCGCGGCCAAGTCAGACTTCCCAAGGTACGGGCGCAGCTGGCGCACAAGTTTTAATTGTGCAAAAGCTCCCCTGACCACCGCCGAGACCTGGGGTTCCAGGTTTGGTGATGAGTCCAGGATCACTCCCAAGAATCCCACCAATACAGACAGTGGCCATGGCAACAACTGCTATTGCTGGCTAAAGAACTTGGTAGATTCTCTAAAAAAGGCTTTAAAAAATATTGTGAATTATTGAATACATAAAAAGTGGTGGAACAATTGGGTAGGGATAGGACTACACTAAAAAAGGGGGCTTTTCACCATAAAGATCTCCAGTGATGTTTTTGAGCAGCGAGATGAGATCTGAATCAGGAAACCCTTTACTCACATGTTTCTTGTCTTCTTCCTTCAATCTGCAGATAAACCTTTATACACCTTTTTACTGTTATATTGATCAGGATTTCAACCCCCAAAGACAGATGTCCCTTTGGGTGTACAGAAGGGATTATTAGATGCGTGCGTTCTCCAAATCGCTCTAATAGGATCTTCCACCCCACAAACTGTCTGTCCATATGTATAGAGGCCATGGGGTCTTAACCGGTATTACGGCTTGCTTGTTTATTTATTGTATTTCCATCAACACTTGAGGGGAAAACAATCCAACAATATTCCACTTTGAGTCCCGTTCAGAAGAAATGTAGGATATATATCTGGCTAGCCATCCCCTGCCACGCGTTGCTGTGGCCCAGTCTGTGTTTATGTGTGTACATATGTGTGTATTTGCATATATGTGTGTGTGTGTGGTTTTATTTATATTCCGCCTTTCTCACCCTGAAAGGGACTCAGGGTGGAGCACACCATATATACGGCAAACATTCAATGCTGGGGCACAAATTCATATGCACATGTGTTGTAATTTTTTTTAATTTTTGGCTTTTAAAGTCCCTTCTGCTGTGTTTTTCAATGTTTTTATGCGTGATGGTCACTTGTTGGCTTGATAAGTGTCTTGTGTCCAAATTTGGTGTCAATTCATCCAGTGGTTTTTGAGTTATGCTAATCCCACAAATGAACATTACATTTTTATTTATATAGACTAGCTGTCCCCTGCCACGCATTACTGTGGCCCAGTCTGTGTAAATGTGTTTTGTGTGTGTGGATATGTGTATATATGTGTGTTTGCATATATATGTCTGTGTGTGTATATATATGTGGTTTTGCACATGCATTGAAATGTATTTTTTGGCTTTTTAAGTCTCTTCTGCTGTGTTTTTCAGTGTTTTTATGAGTGATGGTCACTTGTTGGCCTGATAGGTGTATTGTGTCCAAATTTGGTGTCAATTCGTCCAGTGGTTTTTGAGTTATGTTAATCCCACAAACAAACATTACATTTTTATTTATATAGACTAGCTGTCCCCTGCCACACATTGCTGTGGCCCAGTCTGTGTATATGTGTTTTTGTGTGTGTGTATATATGTGTGTTTGTGTATAAATGTGATTTTGTGCATGCGTTGTAATGTATTTTTTTTGGCTTTTTAAGTCTCTTCTGCTGTGTTTTTCAGTGTTTTTATGAGTGATGGACTCGTTGGCCTGATAGGTGTATTGTGTCCAAATTTGTGTCAATTCGTCCAGTGGTTTTTGAGTTATGTTAATCCCACAAACGAACATTACATTTTTATTTATATAGACTAGCAGTCCCCTGCCACGCGTTGCTGTGGCCCAGTCTGTGTATATGTGTTTTTTTGTGTGTATATATATGTGTGTTTGCATATATGTGTGCGTTTGTGTGTGGTTTTGCACATGTGTTGTAATGTAATTTTTGTTTTGTGGCTTTTAAAGTCTCTTCTGCTGTGTTTTTTTAGTTTTTATGAGTGATGGTCACTTGTTGGCCTGATAGGTATATTGTGTCCAAATTTGGTGTCAATTCGTCCAGTGGTTTTTGAGTTATGCTAATCCCACAAACAWTTTTTTTATTTATATAGATAAACAGAGAGATAGAGAGATGATTTGCAGAACATTTTCAGTTTACCAAAAGGAAACAGTTAAGGGTCCTCCTTACTAAAATAGGGGGGGGGGGGTGTACACAAGCGATATATTTCCATTAATATCGTCACTGGCAATGGAATTCAAGGATAGCATTCTCTCCATCACAGATCCCCTCTTTCTTGTTCTGACACAAGTATTTCAGCTGTCAGGAGACGTTTAAATGTGCTCTGATCATGTACTTTGCGACAATCCCCTTGGTAGGACACAGACACAGTGACATCTCGCAAATGCTGTAAAATTACCTCCAATGAGGCAACCAGGATTGCAATGAGCTCAGAGAACTGAGAGCGGTGGAGAATTCTGTAAAACCTAATTTAAACTCAGCAGGGTTTTCATGGCCTGTTTTTTTTTTAAGGGTACGGATACATCCACGTCTCTTGCTGCTCTAAATATCTGTCTCTGTAGGGGACTCAAAACAGCTACCTTGCTCTTCTCATCAGGCTCAAGAAATACAAGCCCTGAAGGATATGTCCTACTTCCAATGTGGCCTTGAATCTCTTAGCAGCATAGTAAAATAAAATAAAACAAAACAAAACTGCAGGCTAGTCATTTTTGCAGGCTGATTTAAAAGGCTGCCTTAAACAGAGATGGGTCTCTGCACAGGCAAAAACACCACCACCTCAACATCCTCTTACGTTACATAAAGCAAGCCATTCTGACATTTGTCCTGTGGAGAAAGTGTTGTTTTCCCCACTGCTTACAAGCAATCCAAATGACACTGGCATTGAACACTGAAGACCCATTGTGCTCAAGAGCAATGCAGCAGAGCAGATGCTTTAATGAGGAAGCCACTATAAAGCTA